ACCGGAAAAGACGCGTTAGGACCGGTGCCAACTCCGGAGCACACGTCCTCAGCACAATTGGGGGGATTCCGTCAGGCCCACTCGACTTCTGGATGTCCAGGGAGAGCAGTGCTTTGCGAACCGAGCGCTGTGAGAACAGCACATCCGGCATGGAGCACTCACACCGCGGGATGGTCGGCGGTGTTTTCCCCCCGTCATCAAGAGTCGAGTTGGACGCAAAAAGGGAGCCTAAAAGGTCGGCTTTGTCTTTTGCGTCATGGGCCAGTGAGTCATCCTCCCTGTGCAGAGATGGTAGTGATGGCTTACAGAAATTCCCTTGGACAGCCTTGGCGAGAGACCAGAATGCACGGGTTCCCGAAGGAAGGCGAACTAGTTTCTCGCCAATTCTGCCTATGTGCTCTGACTTTGCCTTGGCAATAACTCTTTTGAAGGACCTGGAGGCGAAGTTATACTTCTTTTTAAGTGTGCTGGTATTTACATCCCGAGTCGCCGAAGCCGCAGCCCAGGCTTGATAACACTCCTGCTTACTGCGTAATGCAGTCTTACAGGAGCGACCAAACCAAGGCTGAGATCTGCCTCCGATGGGTACCACAGATGATGGAATAAATAGTTCCATTCCCTGTAGCACCACATCAGTGACAGAGTTAGCAACAGCGCTGGGATCATCCGGCGAGAAGCAAACCCGCCCCCATGGGTAGGATGCAAAGAAGGACCGCATTCCGTCCCAATCCGCCGACCTGTAATGCCAAACACGGCGGCAACCTGCAGAACGCAACCGCGAAGGGAGCGTGAGTGGCACCACACTCCGGATCAGACAATGGTCGGAAGAGCCGAGAGGGGCATCGACGGAAACCAGATATCCGTCCGGATGAGAGGTCAGCAGAAGGTCCAACAGGGAAGGTGTATGATCCTCCACATCTGGAATCCGCGTAGGCGATGTAACCAGTTGTGTCAGACCATATGCCAAGGCAAAGTCATAAACAGATCAGACTGCTCTAACGGCGCTATCACACGGCATGACGGTACTATTATACCTAAGCAATAACTATTATGGGAACCTCTTGCATGCAATGTATAAACAATGGCATGTAGAGGCAGTTTGAGTGTTAAAATATCCATTCATTGATACTCCATACAGAATAGAATATACTGATATGCATTTCAGACTCAATATTATCCTGAATATAAGTATCCAGACTGCAGCATCTTTTCCATTACTTTCCTTTGAGGCATCAGTGAGTTAGTCTAACTGAAATGTTCTTTATTTATTTAGAACTAGCTTTATACCCGCGGCTTCGCTCGCGTGCGCTTGAATTTAGGGACATCATTAAATGCTGTTCCGTGTCAAATTTAGAAATATTCGATCACTTTTAGAGTCACCTTGGTGTCTATGTCTCTATGTCTGTCAGAGATTTTTTTTCATTTTAACAAACTATTAGACGTAGATGATTGGTAACATGCTACAGAAACACGTGAATATACTTATAATATGTCTAGAAACTCCTACTATTTTTTATATATGGCGTGTCTTCCGATTCCGATGTATCCATAAGAAAGGTAAATAGTCTTGAAATCAAAATGTATTATTATTATTATTTACATTTTACTCTTTACATATATATATATTCATAGTTAAAGTAAATTTATATTACGGATTTTTTACGCATCTTGACTCCTCACCGAATGAAAGCACCGAAGCTCCGGGAAGTCTAAAGTATGTAAACATGTTTAGTATCGTCCCAACCATTATATACAACAAATCCTTGCAATAGAACACCGAATCCTACCAATGATGATTCGCGAGGCTATTGAAATTAAAAATATCCTAATTTTAATAAGGAAGATGGCTGAGTGCTACTATCTGCTAAGGACTCCATGATTAATAAAATTAAATTCAAACTACTACTGCATTTTAACCTTCTATTTTAACTATGACATCAGGTCGTCAAACACCTCAGTTCTCCCATCCCTCCCGTGACCATGGGTGCTGTAAATTGCCCAAACCATCGGGAATTTAAAGAGTTAAAATTAAACGCGATAAAATCCTAGAAATTACTTTTATTCCTTATAAATTTTATACACAGTGAACGTGAGGAACACTACACTCATGAACGGGAGTAGAAAAATGCACTGTTGTGGCGGTGAAAGAAAATCCAACACATCATATCGTCCCGTCGTTAGAGGCGACATAGGAAAAAATTTGTAGATGGGATGATCTGCATCATCTTCTTGACAACAGATCAAAATGCATTTAGAGCGGCAATATGAAAAAATTGAGATTATAGGTGAGATGCGTGCAATATGATCTCCCTAAGAGAAAAACTTTACTGCGCTCAAAGTTTAAGACAAAAACACAAGATTTAAAGTGTTAAGAATAGTAAATTTACTTACCTTTGTAATTGCACACTTATTCCTCACGATATGTATGTGGTTTATTAGTTTCGTCATATTTTCTAAAAGGTTAGTAAGGGATCGTTTTATACACATGTTTTTTTTAACTATAGGATAGGGTGACAAACGAACACAAAGTCCACCTGATGGTAAGTGGTTGCTGTGACCCACAGACATCTACATTTATCATCAATAAAGTATCAAAATGCAGATGCGTCGTCACCCGTGAGGACTAAGATGGAATGCCTCTTTTCCAGTAAAATGGGTCTCCGGTTCTCTCAAAATATACAAAATTTGACCTGCTCAAAGTTCAAAAACTTTATTAAACTAAGTTTGTATAAAAAGGGTATAATAACCCTTGTATTGTATTCTGTGAGAGCGTGGTCTTTCCCCGGTCGAGCCTACCCATTCGTGCTACAACTATACTATTAATATAGCTGCAGCATGGCTCTACCACGTATTCTGCAGCCTGGCTCTACCACGTATGCTGCAGCATGGCTCTGCCACATATGCTGCAGCATGGCTCTACCGCGTATGCTGCAGCATGACTACCACGTATGCTGCAGCATGGCTCCACCACGTATGCTGCAACATGGCTCTACCACGTAGGCTGCAGCATGGATCTACCACGTGTGTATAAAACTGGGGATCACTTTATACCTAAGATATTTAATATTAGCAAAATAAAACACCTAGATGTTTATTTTAAGCATATGTATTGCATAAAGCAACAAAAATGTGTAAGCATGTTTTCACATAACATTTTAAATCTTTGAGTTACATTGGAGATCAATTTTTTTAACTTCTTACTACTAAACAAAATTAAACTAAACAATTGTAACAAACGTTTTAAGGTTTATAGAATAAACTCTTTTTCTAAATAAAAGAAAACAATAAATCCTCTTTAAGGTTTGTAGTTTTTACAAAGTATAAATAAAAAATCGCAAGTAAAGTCTTTTTCATCGCCACTGTATTTCCGCACAAGCCTCATGCTCATGTCCCCATTTCAGGCACACAACGCATCTTATCAACCCGTCACCTTTATTGTTTTTAGAATAGGTTTCGGTACAGAACAGGCATTTGGTATTACTGTTCTCTTCAAAACAATCCGTTTTATATATTTTTTTCCTTTCGGAAGGAGGCGGTCCCCTCCCTTTATTTTTCTTTTTGTTTGCAACCGGTTTTTTAATTAATTTTTTTTATATCTGTTGAGTTTCTTAAAGTTTTTCGTTATGTGTGTGGTGGTGATGTTTGTTTTTATAACTGGTAAGCTAGTGTATTAAATTTTGTTTTGGAATGGAAAAATGGATGACAGAACGGAAAAATATTTTTTAAATTTTAGAAGTTGAACTTGTTTATTAAAAGATTAACTTTAAAAAAAAGGTAATTTTTCATAAACAAGTTTTTACTCTTTTGAGTGAATTAAGCAATATCACTAGCTCAGGGAACAACTTGAATGTCGTCTAAATAGTTATAATAAATACTTCATCGCCTATTTGCCATCTATATTGGTTGTTTTTTTTTCTAAATATTAAAATGTAACCAACCTAAAATGATATCCCTATTCAATAAAAAAAAAATTGAGTCTGCCGTCTCTGATTAGTCGTGAAAATACATTAAAAAAACCTATTATGCATTGAATACTCATTATTTTTTAGTCAGTTTCAAATTAAAAGGAAGTTGCCCAAAATTAATATAAAAGAAATTCAACCAATAGTTTCTTCTGAATATTCTTCATGGTCGCTTGACATAATCTATAATCTCTTTACATCACCCTCAATTTCCATCAGTTATTCATTTATGAATGATTTATCATATACTTACTCGTCTTATTGATAAGTAGATAGATATCTATACATCAATAATCGGTTATCAATCTACGTCCTTCTCGCCCGCGTCTGGACAAAGATGCAACATGGATCACTGCTCAGCAAGTTCTCAGCCACACATATGACCATGAATATACATTTTCAAACAGATTCGGTAAGAATTTGCAATGTGCAAATCTAGCACCCTTGACCACGGGGGACTCTCCCCTGACCATGGGTGCTGTAAAGCACCCGAAACGTCGGGAATTTAATAAATAAGTTGTTTAAATCGATAGAATCCGTAAAATCCGTTTTATTCTATCTCATTTTATTAATCCCCGACACAAAAAGAGGGGCGTTATAAGTTTGACCGCTGCGTGTGTCTGTCTGTCTGTCTGTCTGTGTGTCCGTCTCTGGCACCAAAATTCTTAAACGGGTGAACCGATTTGGGTGCGGTTTTTTTATTTAAAAGCATTTTTTCCAGCGGTGGTTCTTAGACAAGTTTTATCAAAATCGGTTCAGCCGTTTCAAGGTCATCAGTTGCTTTTTTCGGGGTTTTTTTTTTATTTTGAATTTGAGTTATTAGGAAAATTCAAATTTATTTTGCGGCTCCCGGGTTCATGCGCGGGAACGGGCGGTTGTCAAGCCACCACGCTGCTGTCAACAAACAATTTTCATTGTATTAAAATACACTTTTAAACTTTAGGCATTAGGAAACACAATTTTTGCTATTAATATCATACATGAAAATGTATTTTAAAATCCATTACCGTTTTTGAATTAAGTTTAATTTATTTGCAGATGACACACAATGTGTTTGTTTATGGTACTTTAAAGCGAAATGAACCAAATCACCACTGGTTGTCCAATTCCAAAAATGGAGTTAGTAAGTTTATTGCTGTTGGAAAAACTGACAAAAAATATCCATTAATCATAGCAACTAAATATAATATCCCATTTATATTACATAAACCTGGATTGGGACATCATGTTGAAGGTAATTATCAAAATAATTTATGTATACTTAAATTAAAAATAGTTGTTAGTTATTTATAGTTACTGACTGTACTGGCTTGAAGTTGAAGTGTTCATTACTTTTTCGCTTGGTAAGTGCAGGTGTCGCTGATATTGATCTTTTTTTATATATAAAAGGGGGCAAAAGAGCATGCGGCTCACTTGATGGTATGTGACTACCGCAGCTGCAATATCAGGGGAATGGCAGATGTGTTGCCGGCCTTTTAAAAAGAGTAGGTCCAGATAAATCGCTGGTGGTGGTAGTAAATTCCACAAGGCAGTTGTGCGCGGAAGAAAACTTCTAGTAAATCACAAAATGGTGGACCGCCAATAATCCAGATAGTATGGATGATATCGCGAGTTTAGTCGCGATGTGAGATGGTGAAATTGACCGGCTGGAATTAGTCCGAACAATTTCCTCTGAGCACTCCCCGAGGTAGATGCGATGGAATACGCAAAGAGATGCAACATCTCATCGCAGCGCCAGTGAGTCAAGCCGATCAAGAAGAACTCGGTCGCCGACGATTCGAACCGCTTCGCACTGGACACGATCAAGTGGAAGGAGCTGGCACTGTGATGAAAACAGTATTTCATGAGACATCGAACTTGCGCCAAGCAACTTGCGTAAAGTTGCAAACGGTGTACTGGCATGAAATACTGTCCCGTCATACAAAGCACGCCAAGCTTTTTAGAGGCCAATTTGGCCTTCCCTTCCAAATCACCGCGAAACTGAACGTCATTTAATATGTCTGAGGATTCCGCTGGTAGCCGAGGCAACGAGGGGAGTGCTTTGAAATTGAGGATATACGATAAAAGGGTTCATTTTAGCGGTAAACGCACAAACTTGTGTCTTCTGGGGATTGAACTAGATTTGGTCGCCCCCAACGACATGTTCTGGAGAAATATTAGGACAACCGGTGTAAATAAGGCATCGCTATTGCTGTCATCTGCATAACAATGAATGTTACTGCATATAAGATGCATAGATGTCCCGGAATGCAAACACCAGAGCTTTTAAAACGAAGTATAGTTTTGTCTCCAGGTCCTTCAAAAGAGTCAGTGCTAAAGCAAAGTATCGGCAGAATTAGCGATAAACTAGTCCACCTTCCTTTTAGAACCCGTGCATTCTAGTCTCTCGCTAAACCTGTCCAAGAGAACTCTTGTCAGCCATCTCTTCCATCTCTGCATAGAGAGGACGGCTCACTGGTTCATGTCGCAAAGGAGAAACCAGATCTTTTAGACACTTTTAACTTTTAACAGTGGTAGAGCCACGCGGCAGCTTTTGCTGTCGCACGGATGGGTCGGCTCGAACCGGGGTGGTACCACGACCTCACAGAAAACCAGCGTGAAGTAGAGGTTTACCTCTGCGTTTCGCTTTGTGAGTGCGGGTGGCCGGAGGCCCTTTGTGCTGGAGGTGAGGCATTCCATCTTGGTCCTCACGGGTGACAACGCATCTACATTTTGATTTGTAATAGAGGATAGATGTAGATGTCTATGGGCCGCAGCAACCACTTACCATCAGGTGGACTGTGTGCTCGTTTGTCACCCTTATCCTATAAAAAATAAAAAACACTTCCTTTGCGCCCAATTCGACTCTCGATAGCTGGGTGAACACACCGCCGCGCGGATCATCGCGCAGTGTCAGTGAGTTCACCTTGTAAGGTTTGGTGGCCGTAACAATTATATTTTAGATTTATTTTGGAAGATTACCTGTGAGAAGCTCTACACTTTTTATTTACCTTTAATTGATCAAAACGATGATAATGATTATGAATGCAAGGTATTTCTTTTAAACCTTTTTCTGTTGTTACCATTTTTAATTGTATTATTTTAGGAGAAATATATGAAGTGGATAACAAAATGCTTGGCAATTTGGATATACTAGAAGATCACCCAAACTATTATATAAGAGAGATAGATAATATAGAAATTAAGAAAGAGTATGTAATATTATATTTTTAAGTTTATTAGAATAGAATAGAATAGAATAGAATGATTTTTATTCAATATGGATTATTACATAATACTTATTGAAAGTCATTATTTTATTTACCACTGGTTCGGAAAATACCTCTGTCCTGGGAAGAACCAGCAAGAAACCCAGCGGGACTTTTTTTTTAAACATAATTTCACTTAACAATAATTTTGATTATACAATTTTAAATGAATTTTCATAGAACCAGCATGGTGGCGATCACCTTATTCCCAGGGGTTATTTTCACTCATGTATTCCTTGATATTATAATAACCCTTTTTGTACAGTTTTTCTTTAATAAAACTTTTAAACTTGTTTATTGACAAACTTTGAACATGTTCTGGGATTCTGTTGTAAAAGCGTATACATTGCCCCATAAATGAATTACTAATTCTGTGGAGTCTTGTAAGTGGCATTACAAGCTTATGTTTGTTCCTAGTGTTTAAGGTATGAACATCCTTATTCTTATTAAAGCTATTTATGTTTTTATGTACATACATTACATTTTCATAAATATATTGCGATGCCAAAGTTAATATGTTTATTTCTTTAAATTTTTCTCTAAGGGACTCTTTACAATTTAGATTATAAATCGCCCGTACGGCTCTCTTTTGCAAAACAAATATAGCTTCAATATCAGTCGCATTACCCCATAGCAAAATTCCATAAGACATTACGCTATGAAAGTAACTAAAATACACTAACCTAGCTGTCTCAACATCTGTGAGACTTCTAATCTTTCTTACAGCATATGCTGCAGAACTAAGTCTGCTTGCTAATTTAGATATATGGGGGCCCCATTGAAGTTTCGCGTCAATAGTAATACCGAGAAAAACAGTGGTATCCACAAGACTCAACTCCTCCCCATTTAAGAGCACATTGGTTTTCGAATGTTTTACATTAGGTATTGTAAATTTAATACATTTTGTCTTATTGCCGTTTAAGAGCAAATTGTTGGCGTTAAACCAATGTACTAGTTTCGATAGAGCATTATTTACATCGTCATATTTAATTTAAATTTATGAGTCCTGGACTTGCTATCTACATCATCATTAGCACTGTTGTTGTCGTCTTTTTTTACCGTAAATATTATTTTGTGACTGTCATTCCATAAAAAGCATACTTTTTTTATAGGAGAGGGGGCAAACGAGCATGCAGCTCACCTGATGATAAGTGACTACCGCCGCCCATGAACAGCTGCAACACCAGGGAGGGAATCGCAAATGCGTTGCCGGCCTTTTAAAAAGGAGTACGTTCTTTTCTTGAAGTCTAAGTCGTATGGATCCGGAAAAATCGCTGATGGTAATCGATTCCACAAGGAAGTCGTGCGAGGAAGAAAACATCTTCTAAATCGCACAGTGATGGACCGCCAATCATCCAGATGGTGTGGATGGTATCGGGAGTTCTGCCGCGATGTGCGTTCGTGAAATTTGGCGGCTGGGATTAATCCGAACAATTCCTCAGAGCACTCCCCGTGGTAGATGCGAAAGAAAATGCAAAGGGATGCAACATCTCTTCGCAGTGCCAATGAATCGAGCCGATCGGAAAGGACTTGGTCGTCGACGATTCGAGCCGCTCTGCGCTGATGATTTACTTTTTATTACTTACATGATTTTGGTTCGTTCGTACCGATTAAACATAGGTAGCTAATGTTACTCCTTTAGATTTCAAATACTTAAGTGTGCACCGTGTGCAATTTAAATGTGAACCATTAACCTTCTCGGTTTTTACCACACTCTGTTTTTTAGCACATTTTCAATTCCTGCATTTGAACATCACTTCCTATAAATAGTCTGGTTATTTTTGGTCTATAAAATTTATTGTAAGTTGTGAGGATTGGACCTCACTTTTCAGAATGGATCAGTAACGCTTCCTTTAATATGTTTTGTATGTAGTATCGTTAGAATGTAGCATACTTAACTTAGCATAGATGGCGCGTTGTCGACGCCGTACTTTTCAACATGGTTTTATAGATGCAATGGCGCACCTACACGCACGCCATTGAGAAAATGTTTGACGCTTGCAGATGAAACGCTGTTAGTAACAGCCTGTTACCGATACAGTTTATTAAAGTCCGCTGCTGACTACAGCCCTCCCCCATAGATTGCCTCATAAGGGGGATATTTGCCATAGTTGTCATGTTTGGCAAGCGGATAGGCAACCGCACTTTTTTAGTCGATATTAGGAAGACGCTGTGCTGCCCATCTCCTGATTTGTTTCCCTCTGTTGCCTTCTACGACTCTCTTAAGATTTGCACAAGTGTGAGACGCATATGCCTCTCACTACGCCTTTTGTTTTGCGCATCGACTGGGGGCTGTTATATAGTGTTGACAGACTATGGATGTTGGTCCGGGCCAAACTACGAACTTCGTGCGGCGGACAAACAAACATGACTAATGTCTAAGTCACTAACCCAGAGTCGAGCTACACAAAGAATTATTATAGAGAAATTAAATGTTATAATTAAAAATTTATCTGTATTTTATATTTCAGTGATGTGGATAATACAGAAACAATGAAATGCTGGATTTACTTCTTAAAGAGTTTTAAAGAAGAACTTCTGACTAAGCCAATGTTAGAAAATTACTCTTCCGCGGGAAGTCATGGACTGCCATACCTTGAAAGGTCAAAGAGAGATCCTAATTATGACCATTATTCAGCTGTTAAGAAATAATAATACTGTCTGTATTTAAAAATCTTTTCCGTTAAAAATAAAACTGTGTAGAAGTTAAGATTATACAGGGTTATTTTGCACTAAACGGCCAAATTTGCAGAGAAGGTTCAGAATAAGTAATATCTTTTATCTTTTAAATTCAAAATGCATGGTAATGCATTATTTTAACTCATTGTCATTCATAAATATCTAACGCGTACTATTTTACGCATGCACACATTCGTAAGGGTCGCTCGGTAAGGTAGGTACCGCCGCGGGAAGTCACGCGACAATGTTGTCGCGTGACTTCCCGCGCCAATCCCTTCTATTTACCGTTACTCCGTTAAAACGATTGTGAAGCTGTAAATTTTCATACAAAAAGCAATAACGTTTTCCCCCCTGTAAATGTAGTCCAATTTTAATAATTTTTAGAAATGTTGTAGATATGACAAAAAAATAGGCCCGTACGTTTTTATTTTAAAGAAATATTGTATACAATATAAGTTATTAGCATCTAAATATCTATATTTTTGACTTTAAAACTTCCTCGGGCGTTTTTATGTTTTTTAATTAAACTAAACTGATTACTAAAAAAGTAAAACGTACAGACGTAGATTAAAGTGTTAGATTAAATACGACCAAAATTGGCTTATTTTGTAAAGGTTTTTATACGTGGTAGAGCCATGCTGCAGCTATATTATGGTTGTAGCACGAATGGGTCGGCTCGACCGGGGAAGGACCACGCTCTCACAGAATACCAGCGTAAAATAGCAGCCTAACGCTGCTGTGTTTCGTATGGTGTGTATAGAGAACCGGAGACCCTTTTTACTGGAAACGAGGCATTCCATCTCAGTCCTCACGGGTGACAACGCATCTGCATTTTGATTCGTAATCGAAGATAGATGTAGATGTCTATGGGCCACAGCAACCACTTACCATCAGGTGGACTGTGTGCTCGTTTGTCACCCTTATCCTATAAAAAAAAAGGTTTAGGGGGGTAAAAACGTTATCGCCGGAAACAATATTTCAAAAAGAAAATGTAGGCAATTGTCTTCAAGACTTGCAACTCTCTCTATCGCACGATACGGGTCGGGAGCAGGGGCATATTGTAGTGATGTTAGAGGTGTTATCGATATTATTATCGCCTAGGGAGGAGAAAATAATATCGATAACCTACAAAGATAATACCTCTCATGAAAAAGTTAATATCTGTGATTATTCAGTGTTTATCGATTATTTAGTAATTAATTTAGAGTCTTTATTGAATAAAGACATTTAAATAAAAAGAGTTTAGAGTTTACAATAAAGTAGGTAGGCAAATAAATAAAAAAGTAACAACTTGAAGAAATTATTATTGTTTATTATTACATATTACTTTATTACACTTTTTCTCGAACTGCCATTTTTCTAGGAACTCGAGGGTCAATCATTTATGGTAATAAACATTAAAAATAAAATGAGTAAAGCCTTAGCTGCATTTTTGCTGTCCAAAAGTGGTCATAGTACTTATTTTTTTCCTACGCCAAACCACATGGTTTATTAAATTAAAAAATTAGTTGTGTCCATACTACGAAAAAATAAAATTGCCTACCAGTGATATGTAATTATCCCTGAACCTGATAATAGTAATCATGGTTTTTTTTCCTTTTTGTCCTTCTCGTATCAAACAAAATTTGATCTTTTTTAGTTATGGCCTCCATATGTGGCATATTAGAAGCAGAAATAAGACATTTGATTTCATTTAGAGAATCATCTCCAATAAGCCCATCGGGAGTTGTCCCTAAATAATAATCTTCGGAATCAATGAATAGTCCACACTCCCAAACTTTTAGATTATGTTTCCTAATCTTGATTCTTTGCAAAATGTTAAATTAATGAAATTGCAATCGAAATATTTATTTTTTTATTTGCGTTACATTCAAATAAATGATTTATTTCTACAATTCTTCGCCCGTCCAACTTATCTGACTCAATCTTGACTAACTCTGGTTCAATAGTTATAGATATATAATAAGATGATCACATGACATTATTATTGTATTCTTTTTGATTCTCTTTGTCAGATTCGATTCCTTCGCCAACTGGAGTACATCGTCCTTGAGTCACTAAAAAATAAATAGAATGATAATAGTTTAAATTATATTTTACGGCTAACGCAGGCAAAGTCGTGGGTGAAAAGCTAGTTTACCCACATAATTCGGTTCACCGTTAAAATTTCTGTGAGAGTGTAATTCTTCCCCGGTCGAGCCGACCCACTCGTGCTACAACTATATTACTAATATAGCTGCAACATGGCTATACCACGTATAGAAATTTTACTAATCAAATCTTTGTATCTCGAAAATTTTACTGATACGAACAACTTCTAACGGACTAATATTATTACTGGTCTGGAAAATTAAAAAATTCAATTTCAAAACCGATTTCAATAAAACTCGATTACTACATAATATATGTAATGGTTGAAATGATTTTCATAAAATTTGTATGAGACCAACTGTAAACAAAAAAAGAATAGGTATTCAAAATCGGTCCGGAGAAATCGGTGAACATACATTAAAAAAAACAAATATTCATACACCCGAACTCTACGTTCCTCCGTTTTTGAAGTCAAATCAACCTCAGCTATTCTATACTGTTTATTTTGTCTATCTCCTACCAGTCAACCTATGTACCTACATACAATAGTATGTAAGGTGGTAAGGTACGAGATCAAAGTAAGTAAGTAAGTAAGTACGCGTACCTACTTACCTGTTGAGCATAGAGCTGTTGATTTTAGAAGTTAACGTTGCCCATCCTTTTGATTTACTCTTTTTTAATCTTTCTCTTCTATTCTAAAATGTATAAAATTATTTTAGTTGAATGAATGTAATACTCATCTCATCATCACTCACATAGTAGGTAGATACTTACATAAAAAAATAACTGTTTACTTCTATAAGGTATATGTAGTAAGTCCCCACTTAATGTCTACATAGACTATGCAATATAATAAAATTGCAAAGGTACACAAACAAATTCATTATGTAAATAGTCGTAAATGTATGCAAATATAGGCTATGAATGAATAAACGCTCCTGCTGCTGTTATATTAGTGTGCGTGAGAATTAGTGTAATATGTTGTATTTGTGTTGTTCACGCCCGGAGCCCGGAGGAAGGCAGAGCGTGCGTTATGAAACACATAGCATTTTTGAAAATACCTACTCGCGCCGCGTCTCGGCACTTCACAATCCTCTTAAGTAACTACGTCCGCTCGCCCTGCCGACAGTTGACAATTTACAGTTACTTTAATGACGTCACGAAAATATTCGAACCGCGGTAAATGTGAAACTGTGAAATGGTACGATATTAAATTTTATGCTATGAAAGTTTATGTGGTGCGCAATGATACTAAAGTGAGTCTTTACCGCTGCAAGAAATTAACGTACGTGTTTTAATTAACCTACCAATCGAAGAACAATTGACAGATAAGCAAACTGAATATGAAGATAGGTGATTTGCGCACGGAGGCAATATACGTCTATATGTCTTCAAACTCGCCGGAACTTTCACTGTCAGTCTTTTATCCGTGTATAAAGAGCCGTGTTTACGTCAAAGAAGGCCAAAGTTATGAAGACCGTCACAGTAAAATTATTGCTGTGTTCACGGAAGAAAAGTGTTCAAGAACAGGTATATTATTAATATTTTAAGAAAACGTTCTCGTCTATACATAAAAATGTGGCTGTTCGACTGTTCAGCAATCTTCGGAAGCCCTTGGCTGCGGGGTGCCACCGGTTCCTTTTTCTCGTTTCGGCAGTCGATCAGGTCGCTACTTTGAATTTACGTTGTGAATAAATGGTATTAAAGGTTGTGTGTGGCAGAAGAAGCACGAGAGTAGAATAAATTCTGTAGAATTGCGGTCATTAAGGAGTATGTTAAGGCTGAATCTGAATGACATCGGTATATAATAATGTATTTATTTGAACTTCAATATAAAATTTGGTACTCTTTGAAAAATAACCCTGTGTAGTAACAATAATTTGTATGCGTAATTTCGATTGGTATATAACAAACAATTTTTCCCAAAATTAGGAATTAATAATTTGTTGTTTTTTTTTTCAGTAATAACGAGTCTACATTAGACGACCTAGATGAGCATGTGGTCTGTTAAAATTAAATTACGAAAGTGATAACCTGTGATCAAAAGTTAAATGGTATTTACATTAAATATATGAAATTATTTTAGCAATAATTATGTAAATTTGCGAATATTTTATACATCCCTTTTTTGTTTAAATAAAACAATTTTTTTTCTTGCGAGTAATAACACTTCCATACTTTACCACTTTAAATTATTTCTACAATCCGTACAATTAATAAAATTGATGTGTCTGTCTGTAGTATCGAAATACTGACTTTTTTGAGCTCCGGTGGTTATTTGAAAGTAATAATAATACGATCACATAATATTTTGTATTTCCTTAAGAAATTACAAAGGCTTATAATATCTATCTCGCAGTAAATAGCAGCGGCCACACCACGCAACGAATATACATTGAGCCATTTGTTGCGTGAATTGTGAAGAGTTTCAGCATACAAGCTGCAATGGACTGGAATCAGTCAAATATGTGACACTTTTGTCACCAATTTAAACTTTTCAATGACAAAAACATGAATAATAATTATTGTACTTATATGTGAAACGATATCACATTTTTGCTCCAGTTTACTTTATCCTTTTTGTATTTACATGTGATTACAGCACAACTTGGCATTTTGCGTTATTTTTTTTCCATGTTATCATGGATTAGGTGAAGTGCGACTAGAGCGGGGATTTTTACGATTTTTAGAAGAGATTGCCCATCTTCACATTCGTCTGTTTGGCGAATACACGTTCGTCATCATTCATCATTCACCTTTAGTTGACGGTTGTCGTTCATCAAGTATGGACGGCGAGTTAATAGCGGCTGCTGCGATATATTTACTAAGTAATAATCTTATAAAGCGGCGTAAGATAATCCACTACGCGAATATTATCAAGGCATATACATATGTCGTGGGTGTCGTAAGAGGTGGCACAGGGAAACTGAAACAAGGGATATACGGCAGTACCTTCCTGATAACAAATAAAAATTATATTGTTTACTATTCTAAGCCAGTGCTTGATTACAATTCACCTGATGGAAAGTGGTAAGTCGACAACGAAAGGGTGGATATTCGCCGAGCGTCTGGTTTTTCCGATGGTGAAAGGGAGTGGGAGGAATTAAGTTATGCAATTACTGCACACACTCTCCGAAATGTTGCATGTAGAAAACTGAAAGGTTGGATACTTTGTGGCTGTATTCAAGGCTAGTGAGTTTGGTTTTAACCAGATTTGGGTCATAAGCAAGCCTTTGCATCGTGTTCAAAGCTGCTAGGAGGCATTCTGCAGTATCAGTCCATATATTATAATAATACTCTAAGACTTGCGACTAGCGCTTTATATAGTGTAAGTAACTCTCCTGGTTAGAACTCCTTGCAGTTGCTCTGGTCTTGGAATTAATTTATCGACGGAAGTTTAAATTCGAGGAAATCTCAACTCCCAACCCAACAATTGAAGGTCGGTGTATATCAGTGATAGTTTTAGGAAAAAATGAGCCAATATGAGCTGGCTCTTTTTGCAGTGAACTAACACGCTTGTATTTTGGAGGAGTTGATTTTCATATAACTGGCATCGCCCCATTCGGAGACTGTCTGTAGTGTGTGATTCATAATTTTTCTTTTGGAATGAATTTGATCGCGACTGGCCCGAGCACTTGGTTAGTATCGCTCCACAACGATGGTGTCGTGTAAATATAAGTCCTTCACTTGGTCAATTAGATCAGACGATAAGCCGTATACTGGAAGCTTGCCCAAAAGACTAGCGTGCCGAACCCTGTCAAAGCACGTGCTTCCCCAGTATTCTCTAGTGGTGGACGGTCATTGAGATTAGCCAATAATTGGCAGGCTTGGCACAGTTTTTTTTTAGGAACGTGTGATGATGACGATGATATATATAAATTACCCCCAGAGTATTTAAATAAAAGAACACTACTCGATAACAAACCCTGCTTACTATCAGAACCCAATTACATGATAACACCAAAGAATGCAAACCAATAGAATCACCACCCATCTCAATGTAAAACAGGTTCAAAAAATATTTCAATTAAAAAAACTAATTTACAAATTGTTTGCGGTTTTATTACTTCTAACTGACACGAGCATCGGTGAAGGGGGGTCTTTTACAATCCTCTTATTCTCTGGTTAATGCAGAGGTAGTAAAATCACATACAATTCGCAAATTATTTTTTTTATTTAAAATAATAAGACCATACACGTATACGCTAAAGGCCTATATCGGGCTGAATTCAATCGCTAACGAAACAAATGCTGCTTATTTTCGTGATATCTTTGATATTGCAGTATTAATAAGTGTTTAAAAGTTGTGATTAAATATGGTGACGTGTGCAGTACCTGAATGCAGCTCATGCAGCTCATCGAGAAAAGAAAATCCACAAAATTATACATTTACCCGTAAGTACAATTAAAATATTTAGCACTCTTGTTTTAGAACTTTTATACACACATTGATAGGGAAAATATCACATTTTATTGCTCTAAATGCTTAAAAATTATATTAAAAATAATAACAAACCCGCGAATTCCCACTATTTTAGATCTAATTTTCGTAGAGATTGACACTCAACATAGATAAATTAAAATTAGATTCATAGTGTCACTCGTGTGTTGGCGGGTAAGAATACTCACTACCCCATATCTTCCCGTGGGTGTCGTAAGAGGCGACAGAGAGAAACTGAGGCAGAGGACGGGTAGCAGCATCTTTCTGATAACAGCAAAACAACTATAAAAACTGCGGTTGCCAACCCGCTCGCCAAGCGTGGCAACTGTGGCAATATACCCCCCATGATAGTAACGAAGAGACGGCCCCCAGTCCACAGCGGCCCCGCAATTCCTGGCTATGGTGGCGACTATGGTAACGGTGGGGCAGGGAGTGCTAAGGATCTCCGGTGGAGGTTCGGTTGCCACCTACGATGACTCGACCTGGCAACTTATAACGCACGCACCCTGAGGACTGACGAGAAGATCCTGGAGCTGGAAGAAGAGATAGACAAGTTGCGCTGGAATATCATAGGAATATCCGAGGTCCGAAGAGAGGGGGAGGACACGGTAATCCTCAAATCCGGCAACTTGTTTAGTTCACTTGAGCCAGTTCTATCACCGAGAGGGCGACCATCTGCCCCAAGGAGGTGTCGGATTTATCGTCCACAAGTCTCTCGTCAACAACGTTGTAAAGATTGGGAGTATGTCGACGAGGGTTGCGTACCTTATACTCAGAATCACCAAACGGTATTCGATGAAGGTCATACAGGTTTACGCACCAACCTCGGCACACTCCTATGAGGAGGTGGAGGAAATGTATGAGGATATCTCTAGAGCCATGCATTCCTCCAAAACATACTATGCCGTGTTAATGGGAGACTTCAACGCAAAACTAGGCACAAGAGAGAACGGTGAGCTAAAAGTAGGGAAATTCGGAATAGGACAACGGAACCCAAGGGGCCAGCAGCTGGCCGACTTCACGGAGAAAGAGGGACTCCTTATGATGAACTCTTTCTTCCAGAAGCGGCCCCACAGCAAGTGGACCTGGTCGAGCCCCGACGGTTCGACAAAAAATGAGATTGACTTCATTATGACGACCAAACGACAGCTGTTCAGTGATGTCTCAGTGATCTCGAGGGTGAAAACCGGCAGCGATCACCGAACGATGAGAGGCACACTGAAACTAATCGTTAAGTTGGAGAGGTCACGTTTAATGAAGTCAACGCTCTGTCCCCCTCGTGCTCTAATCCCAAATAATAAAATAAAAGTCCCGAAACCTTTCAGTTCGAGCTACGAAACCGTTTTCAGTGCCTAGAAGATTGCAATGCAGTGGACGATATGAATGACAAGCTCGTGGAAACTGTTCATGCGGTCGGAACTAAGTTTTGCAAGACCAAGTTTTGCGATCGAGCGGAAAGGGCTCCAAAGTCTTTGCTAGAGATCTGTCTGCCAGAAAAAGCCAACTGTCGAAGCTGAAGTCAGAGTGTGGCAGCGTCGTTTCCGGGACGCCTGAGATCTTGAGTGAGATTGATAGGTTCTATGGGCAGCTGTACACATCATCGTTGGAGCCACACGTAAGTGCGAGTAACGATCCAAGAGCGAGTCTTATCCGATGATATACCGGGCGCCAGTCTGAGCGAGATTAGAATGGCTCTCCAGCACTTTAAAACGGCAAGGCACCAGGCGAGGATGGAATTACAGCGGAGCTTATGAAAGCGTGTGGAAAACCGGTACTTGAAGTCCTTCAGAAGGTCTTTAATTCCGTACTCCATGGTGGCATTACACCGGAGGCGTGGAGCAGAAGTGCGGTTGTCTTGTTCTTCAAGAAAGGTGACAACGCTCTCTTGCAGAACTACAGACCGATTTTCCTTCTGAGCCGCGTCTTCGTGCTGTTTTCGAGAGTCATTACTAATCGTCTCGCGCGCAGATTTGACGACTTCCAGTCTCCCGAACAAGCCTGTTTCCAAAAAGGCTTTAGAACCATAGACCACATTTTTTTTTATAGGAGAGGGGGCAAACGAGCATGCGGCTCACCTGATGGTGAGTGACTACCGTCGCCCATGAACAACTGCAACACTAGAGGAACCAGGAGAATTGCAGATGTGTTTTAAAAAGGAGTAGGCTCTTTTCTTGAAAGTCCCTAAGTCGTATCGGTCCGGAAAGATCGCTGATAGTAATCGATTCCACAAGGAAGTCGTGCGAGGAAGAAAACATCTTCTAAATCGCACAGTGGTGGACCGCCAATCATCCAGATAGTGTGGATGGTATCGGGAGTTCTGCTGCGATGTGCGTTCGTGAAATTCGGCGGCTGGGATTAATCCGAACTATTCCTCAGAGCACTCCCCGTGGTAAGAAATAAAATGCGAAAGAAAATGGAAAGGGATGCAACATATCTTCGCAGTGCCAATGAATCGAGCCGATCAGAAAGGACTCGGTCGTCGATGATTCGAGCCGCTCTGCGCTGGATGCGGTCAAGTGGAAGGACCTGGCACTGGGAAGTCCCTGCCCAGAGATGGGAACAGTATTCCA